CATAGAGTAGCATTTACTGCTAAATTTTACAGCCATCTAGGGTAGACATGGTTAAAACGCGACGCGATATAATATCGCATCGCACTTGCTGCGATCGCGATTTATATCGCACGATATTATATCGCATCGCTGCGATATCATTCTTCAAAAACAGGTATCGCATATCGCATTTTCGGTGCGATATATTTTTATATTGCAATAAGAAGCAGTATATGCTATCGCATTTTTGCGATATATGCGATATTATATCGCGGGATGCGATGCAATATAACCATCACTAATCTAGGGTAGACATGGGCACAAGCCGAGCCATATCCGGCTCGGCTCGGCTCGGCTCGCCAAAATGACGAGCCGAGCCTTTCTTTTCAGGATCTGGCTCGACTCGAGCCGAGCCGGCTCGGCTCGGTCGAGCCAGCCGGCTCGACTCGGCTCGTACACAATGTCCTCATCGAGCCGGGGTCGAGCCGGCTCGTTCCCGGCTCAATTTCGAGCCAGGTGGCTCGCCACTCGATTTCAAGGGTAAATTTCCCCCTCGACAAAAGTGTCTCCCGTTTCTCTCTCCCGCCAACAACTCCTAGTCTATGTTCCCGAAATCGCTCTAGCGGTGCAGCGTTTATCGTTTAAACGCTGCGTTTAAAGGGTAAACGCTAAACGCTCGCCCAAAATGTTTGACGCGGAATTCTTTCCCGCGACATTGCGACCTCGCGAATTCAACCAGTCGCAACCCCAAACTTTGACGACCAAAGACACATCCAACCCTTTTGCCCCGCTCAACCGCACTGCACACTACTGCATCTACAACTTCCAACCTAACCTCTTGCACCCTTCTTCCTCCTCACAATCCACTTCCCGTCAATTTCGCGAACCCTAGAATTCCGCGCGCCTAGAGTATCTCATTAGGTTAGTTCGCACGAGAAATCTTAAGCAGCCCGCGCCACTCTTAACAACGCGTGCTTGCATAGGCTCCACCCACACTACTGTTGGCTTAAGCGCATGCTAGGCGAGTCGAGCCGAGCCGGCTCGCCGTCGAGCCAGCCCTGGCTCGCCCACAGAAATGCGAGCCGAGCCAGGCATGTTTGGTGCCCGGCTCGACTCGAGCCGAGCCAGGCTCGACGGCGAGCCGGCTCGGCTCGACCCCTGGACGAGCCGAGCCGAGCCAGGCTCGGCTCATGCCCATGTCTAATCTAGGGGTACCTGGGTAATAATACCCGACTTCAATTAAAAGCGGGTCGGGCATTTCCGACCCGTCACACAGGTACCGAATTACCCGGTATTAAAATGCCGGGTCGGGTAGCAGACTTTCAGAGATTACCCGGTAACTACCTGACCGACCCGACCCTGACCCGATTGCGGGTAGTGCAAAACCGGGCCGGGTCAGGTAATTACCCGGTTTTGCTCATGTCTAGTTTTTACCCATACTCACATCTCGGTCAAGCTCCTCATACGTCCGATAGTAGATGGAATGTGTCCAGAAAAGCCATTTTGGTTAAGTCTCCTAGTGGTGACGGAGAGGATTTTTTTTTTTTTAGATAATAGATACAAGGGAACAAGGAGAAACGCTGGAATGCATTGACAGGCAAACGTAACGAGAGTAGCGTGTATGAATTGAATGCGTGAACAAAGTGAAAGTTTTCCTTCATTAACTGCTGTGCTGTGAGTGGAAAAATGTAATACGTTGTGAGCCTCTGAAAAGCTGCCCTTATATTCAAGAGGCTCACAATGCTGTCAAAAATTCAAGGCTGCTTAGCGCTGGTGGTATGAAGCCAGTCAGCCTGTTCTGATCAAGCAATCTGCATTTTATTAATAGGAGTGGAAAATGGGGAAAATAAAGGCGTGATACCCAGGTTACTCACCATAGCGGTGAAACACCCTTTAATCTACTCTATTTAGTGCTGCAGGCAACGTGCATGCAAGAAGAGGCTAGGTGCAAAATGACACCATTTCAGATAAAGGTAGACGCATATATAGCTTTGGACCCAACAGACGAGGGCTACCAAGGAAATAGACTCAACAGCACAGCTGTTTATTGCAAGGTGCAAAAAAACGGCGTTTTTTTACCTTTTTTGACCGTTTAAAACGGGATCGTATAAAACGGTCGTATAATACGATTAAAACGGTCAAAAGTTGCATTTTGCGTTTGGTGCAAAAAAACGGCCGTTTTATACGACCGTTTTTTCGTACCACCGTATAATACGGTGTAAATTGTTTTTGGCCGAGCTAATAACGCCTAGGGGGGGGAGGACAAGGGGCGGGAGGACTAGGTGGATGACGCTTAGGAGGAGGAGGATGGGGGGATGGTGGAGTAGGAGCAGAATGAGACCTAGAAGGCGACGGACTAGGGGCATGGACATCACATGCCTGTTTCAAAGCCGCTAATTACCCCGTAGAAAGATGCAGGCCACCTTAGCAATCAGGCCACTTGTTTACGCGTGCTTTTTATAAAGAAAGAAAGAAAAAAAAAATCATGAAAAAAGGTCTAACAAAAAAACGTCGTTTTTTACCAAAACCCACCGTAAAAAACGGCCGTTTAAAACGGACCGTTTAATACGGATGCCGTTTTTTTGCACCTTGGTTTATTGTACATCCACAGTCAGCTTGAAGCAAACGCTTGAAGAACATGCAGCCAGTGGCAAGCAAGAAGTACACAGCTCCAGTCTGAGAATTAGCATGCCTGCTGTACTGTACTCACAAGCTTCGAAGATCGGTGAGCTTGCTAACAGAGTCGGGAATCGTGCCAGTTAAGCGGTTGCTGTGAAGGGATCTGATGAGCGAGAATACAAGAGACCATAAATTTAGGAGACCGTAGCGAGCCGGACCCGGCCCATCACGGTGACATGGGCAGCATGCCGAGCCTGGCTCGACTCGGCTCGACTCGACCTCGAGCCAGGTAAAAGTCGAGCCGAGCCGACTCGACTCGACCCGAGCCGGCTGCCCCAAAATGGTTGGCTCGACTCGGGGGTTCAGGGTCGAGCCAAGGGTCGGCTCGACCTTGGCTCGGCTCAGCTTGACTCGCCAAATGGATTTTCGTCTTCCATTGCGGTCGAATTTTGACCCCCCGCTGGCAAGCCGTGCGCTTCAGGAGTCGAGCCAAATTCGAGCCAAAGTCGAGCCGGCTCGACTTTGGCTCGCCATGAAATTTGCGACGAGTCGAGCCGAGCCGCGCGGCTCGACCGGCTCGACTCGGCTCGACTCGGGTTGAGCCAGCCAAAAAAAAATCTCGGCTCGACTCGCCAAAAAGGCGAGTCGAGTCGAGCCGAGTCGAGCCAGGCTCGGCATGCTGCCCATGTCTACCGTCACCCGTGACAGAGTACTAAGCTGTAGTGGCTCGGACTTCTGCCTGAGCCGGCCCGTGGCAGGCCGGGGCCAGACCAGACCTGGCCCTTGCTCATTTCTATTGCACACGCATGTAATGAGACAATATGGAGATTGAGAACATGACAAACACTGTTCGCTAGATTGACAATGCTTCAGAATTAGCTTCATGTCTTGAACAAAATCTGTCTCGTTGTATCTTCCAATGTACCCAGTACAGCCATTTCCACTTCTCCTGTTGGTGGAGAAGAAGGAGCCGACGGCACACTGAGGCCACGGCTTGTACATTCAAAGACAATCAGGAATATACGACAGGACAACGCACACGAGCATAAAATGGGCTTCCTGCCTTGATGAGTGAGCGGAAAACCAGTCATGCGAAATCCATTGAATGGCAGAATAGGATGTGATCTCTAACGTCGACATGCTCACAGTTTAACCAATGGAAGGCTGCCAATTCCTGCTGGAAGTGGGCCAGTTAACTGGTTTGTATGAAAATATCTGCAATATGTAGAAACGGGATTGTAAAATGGGCAGAATGAAGGCCGAACTGAAAATTGCGCCTCCTGCTAGTTGCACTTACAGTAACAGGGTAAAGCTGCAAGGAGTGCAGAATATTTTCAAGTGCACAGAATACGACGAATATGCTCATGTGTCAGAACCGGTTCGAGCCTTGTTCAGAATAAGGTGGAAAGTATGGAAAGCTGCTGTACTCCTTGACATCCGTTTCACGGGCTCACAGCATACGTTCAAACCACCCTGCTGGCTGGAGTGTGCTGATTCTTGTCAGAGTATAGTCTGCTGACTAGTGCCATTTTCATGGTAAGATTTGTTTGTAAACCACCCTTGCACAGGGTGTAACGTTCCAACTCACTTTGCGCGCGAAGGCCATTCACACTGTATGGGTAACCCATGATGGGTTGTTACCAAACCCAACAAAGGTTGAGACAATATGTCCGAGACATGGTGATCATGCGGGGTCTGCATACCCAAGATTTGTAACTTACATAATCAGCCAATTACAGCTGCTCATTGCCACGTGTCAACACAGGAAACTTACAATCCCGTCACACCCGTGAGCAAGCTGATGAAGTCAGGAATCGAGCCCGTGAATCTGTTCTTGCTCAACTCACTGAGAGGACAATAGAGGGCACACATTTGGAGAGAGAATTGGAGTACTGCGCGCGTATGCATTCGACAATGTGGTGAGAGGATAGATGGACGACACTACCTGCGGATGGATTTAACATCTCCTCATTTCTGTGACTTGTATATTTCCTTCTTATTTGCCATATCCACTCCATCTATACCTAGTACAACATGGGAGAAGAAAAGTACTCCCATGACAGCCAATTCCACTTGGAATGCGTGTGTGTGGATACTAGGTAGGCTAAAACACGAGTCGAGATGAGTCGAGTCTGACTGAGTCGCCATCGATTCGAGTTGAGTCGCGCTTCGGCCAGCCCCGACTCGTGACTCGACCTTAGGCCTCGAGTCAGGGCTAACTCAAGTCGAGTTCTTGGGCTCAAGAGTCAAAAGTGACTCGAGTATTTTGGGTTTTCAAATGTTTCCCTCACCCCGCCCTGCTGAATTTTTATCTCCCCTGCTCCCCTAAGTCTCGATTCCCCCTGTGCTGTGCATGATACATCACGATCCCCTGCCCCGCCCCCCCCTCCCCCTCCCTCATGCAGAACGCCAATGCCACCCCCTTGGTCCCTCCACTGAACTGCTTGTCGAGAGTCAGCGAACTCGATTCGAGTCAGTAGACTCATCTGCTCATGTCCAGGTCATAGGTGGTGGACAGATTGTACAAAGCCTGTAAATACGAATACGAATGTTTTTTTGTCGAATAGTTGCGATTCGCGAATAGAAGCTGAAATTGTATTTGCCCGAAAAGTTGCTTCGCTATCGAATACGAATTCGAGTCGAATCCTGGTGAGTACGAGACAAATACGAATGTGTCTAGAATACTCAAGCTATCCGCCCTTTTTTTGTCACGGACCCATTCTGCTTACTGGATCTTACGAATTACGGTTTACAAGATTTCTGCTGCTCGCCCAGGTTCAGCCCAGGTCGGTGACAAGTAGACATGGTTAAAACGCAATGCGATATAATATCGCAGCGCACTTGCTGCGATCGCGATTTATATCGCGCGATGTTATATCGCATCGCTGCGAAACAGGTATCGCATATCGCAATTTCGGTGCGATATATTTTTATATCACAATAAGAAAAAAAAGCGATATATCGCGCTATGCGATTTAATATCGCACCGCATTTAAAATCATGGTTTAAATGCTGTTTCCAGGCCCTAAAAAGCGTATGCGGTATTAAATTATCGCACGCATATCGCATCGATATCGCACAGATATCGCACAGTTATCGCATAGATATCGCAAAGATATCTTATACAATATTAAATATCGCATGCGATATAAAAAGATCGCATATCGCAATATATCGCAGGGGAAAACCCGCGATATAAATGCGATATAAAAATATCGCGCGATCTACATCGCATTATATCGCGCGATATTTTTTCTGGACAAAAAATATAATATCACTATCACATTTTTGTGATATATGCGATATTATATCGCGCGATGCGATGACATACAACCATCTCTAGTAACAAGGAGTACAAAATCGAGCTTAACGCTCAACGCTCACCTACTTTACCCTGGACAACCTTGATCTCTCTCACAACCTCAAGCTTTTCACCAGATAACCTCCCTCTAGTTGTGCTAAATTAGGTAATTAAACGCCGTTAAACTATGTCTACTTTATCAGCACCTTAATCCCTGACGACTGATTTCTTCATTATCTGACGTTTCCGCTTCTCCCCCACAAAACAACAGGGCGAGACATGATGCCATGTCGAATACGAATATTTCACGAATAACCCAAATAGTCGTCCAAGACAATTATTTGACCACCGAATACTTGCGAATAAACAGCCAATTTGAACTCGTTCTGTATTTGGGTATTTGGCCAAATAGTGTGCAAATACCGAATATTGTATTTACAGGCTTACTTCCAAGCAAAGGGAGATACAACAAGTTTTGGTAAAGATTTTCAGCAAAGTTAATCACAACAATAGAGTAGACAGTGAGCCGTAGAATTGAGGTCAGAGTCAGCGAGGCTCACAAGTTGTTCAACAGTCGAAGATTACTTATGGCTTCTGGTATCGGGCCCGTCAGATTGTTAGAGATGAGCTTTCTGTATTTCGCGGAAAAGGAACGCCAAAAAGGAAGGGTTAAGGTTAGACACCAATTTGTGAGCACAAAGCTCATGGCAAAGCCGGCATGGTTGAGAGATGAATATTAGCCATGTTGTGGCTCGCACGTTAACCCAATGGGACTTACAAGCTTTGAAGATCTGTCAAGACGCTGATGAAATCAGGAATTGTGCCGATAAAGCCGTTGTAGCCAAGGTCGCTTAAGAGTCAAGAATGGGAGACAGAGGAACAGGGGCAAAGAGGAATATTACACATGGTGAGGCACAGAGGAACATCGCACACGGTGAGGCACAGAGGAACATTGCTTCTGAATCTGATGCTGCTGTGGCCTTGGTTAGCATCTTGAGATTTTCTCACTCTCTCCCTCCTTTCCCAACATAGTGAGTACAGAATCTGTGCTACCTTTGGAAAAGAAGGGCACTTCTACGACAAACATATCCACATGGACTGTGGATGGATGGCATGCCATGCCAGTAGGCGGCGGCTATACTATGTATGCTCCACGCGAGCATGATCCACTAAATTGAGCACCCCGCCCCATCTTCAATGCATGGTGGTTTGAACTTGTCGATATTCGTTACTGCTTTTATTGGGAGTGGTGTAAGGCAACCCCTAGGGCCTAGGCTTGTTCACCCGACCGGATTTTGCATGACCCGACCTCGGGTCCAGGTCGGGTCGGGTCGAGTCAAAGTCGGGTCGACCCTCCCATATTCATGACCCGACCCGTGTATGTATAGTGGCCGAGTCTAAGATGGCCGGAAGTCCGGGACCTGACCCGACATTCTGGAAAACCAGGTCATCCGACCCAACCCCAACTGGGTCATCCAACCCGACCCCCCCAAACCAAATTGGTTCCCTCCCCCTGCCCTACGATTCAGACCCGAAGCCGGGTCGGGTTGACCCGTCGGGTCCTACGTGACCCGAAATTTTAGGGTCAATTCGGGTCGCTAGTCGACCCGACCCGTCAGAACCAAACACCCCGACCCAACCCGACTGGGTATACCCTGACCCGACCCGACCCGGTCTTATGCCCAAGCCTAGCAACCCCTATGGATGGTGATGCATCGAAGTGGGATGTTCTGGTTGCTTGAGAGCGAGTTTGTGACACACTGCTTGAGAGCGAGTCTGTGACACACTGCTTGAGAGCGAGTCTGTGACACAGTACCGTTCAAGAGATGAAGAATTGCAGTGTCGGCGGTTTGGCAAAGAGGACAACAATGGGAGCGAAACACGGGAGTGTCAGAAAGCAAGTGTCAAGCATTCATGACAGTAGACCATGCATGTTGAAGAGAATCAATGTTCAGTAGCAATTAGGGAGGCATATTTATGCAGTAAACACACCAACATACTTTTAGAACTCTGACAGTGGATTGTGATGGAAGAGATTCAGAGCAGACTGGCCAAGAGAAAAGAGCAACCGAGTCGAGTTTAGGCTCAACTCGCCGACTCGAGTCGAGTTTGGGGATTTTGGCTGGTGACTCGAGTCGAGTCGAGTCGAGTCGAGTCGGCCAAATGCCAGCAATTACTCGTCCGCCTCCACTCGAAAATGAATGACGAGTGGTGTCGGGGCTTTTCAGTTGACTCAATAATTGGCGGGGGAAGGATCGACATGTACAGCAAGGGGGGGATGAAATGAAACTGCAGCAGGGCGGAGTGAGGGCAATGATTTCCTTCCGCCCCCCACCATCACTTCGTTTCCGTCCCCACCCTTGAAAAAAATTACATGGATGAAGTCATCCGATTTGATGTACGAAAATCGACGCGCCAGACCTCTCATTTCGTTTACAAGTTTTTTATCACAGCCTAAGCTCCCACCTGCACTAAATCCAAAACCCCACAAAACTTTCAAGTCAAGAGGCTTACAAGTTCAACAAATACCGCAGGTTGCTTAATATTGCTGGTATTGAGCCAGTCAGTTGGTTGCCTGAAATAGCCCTGCGTTTATAAAATATCGAGTGTCAAAAGGAGAGGGAGAGAGTATGGAATATGCATCACAGCGGCTACACACTACGTTATCGTACTCCATGCAACAGGAAGGAAAATAAATCAAACTGGTTAGACACAAACCGGAAAAAAACATGTATCCTCTCAAGGAAAATCAGTGAGGATTGCAGAACTATCTAATGGTAAAGGAGGCACTACAACAAAGAAAAGATATTGCAAATCGTATCCCTTTCGGTTTTGGGGGCTTAAAGCATACCTTCAGAGACCACACCACACAACTCATGGCAAGACGCGCATGGGTCAAGTGAAGGCGTGCAATCTGAGATGATGCCGATCCGTGCAGGGAATGAGCAAGCGAGGACTGGCAGTGAGGCTCACATGTAAAACCAACAACGAATGGCACTCACAAGCTACGAAGCTGTGTGAGCTCGCTAATGAAGTCGGGAATCGGTCCAGTAAATCTGTTGTAGTTGAGGATTCTGATGAGAGAACATTGCAGGGCGCGCAGACGGCGGTGACAGCACTGAAGCTGCGCAGCATTGGAGGGCATGCGTGCATGGAGGCACTCAACTCATCGAGCTTCGTCACTGCTTCGCTTGGGAGCAGGTGCAGCAAGGCAGCCAATATGTTGATGCGTACATAGTATAACAGCAGGAGAGAAGCAGGTTGAACGAAGATGGGATGTTAAGGTAATTCTGAGAATAAACAGTTTGAGACGACCTTGGCTTGGAGGATAGCAAGGATTGCAATGTGGGTGATTTAGCAAAGGGGACAAGGAGAGCAGGGAGAGAACAATAGGAGTTTTGGAATGGGAAACAGGTGTGGAATTTCGAAGGCAAAGCATGTCGAACATTGAAGTGAATTGAAATTCAGTCACGATTAGGATGGCATTAAATTAAACACAGAATATAGAAAACATTGAGAGGCAAATGTGATGGAAATTATTCATGCGTTCATGGATAAAGGGTGAATCTGTTTTTATGGATAAAGATTATGGGTGGTGAGATGAGATCAAATGTTGGAAATAGAAGTGAGCCTGTTGGAGAGGCTCACAAATTTGTCAACGCTGGAAGTTTGCCTATTGTTGTTGGTATCGGCCCACTCATATTGTTACGCCAAAAACTCCTGCATTTGGTAAATAAGGAGTGTCGAATGGGGGTGTAATAAAAAAACGTGTGAAAGCTTTGTGACAGTTGTTTCTGTGCTGAGATGATGTTCATCCTCGTAGAGAATGAACAGACGAGGACTGGCTGTGTGGCTCACATGTAAAAGCAACGAAGTTTAGCACTCACAAGAAAACAAGGTTGGTGAGATTGATGAAGGAGTCGGGAATTGAGCCAGAAAAGCTGTTTTGACTAAGGATTCTGGCGAGAGCAGAGAAAAATGGAGGGCACGCATTTGGTGACAGCATATTTTGTAAACCCTGTGCAGTAACACAAATTTCCATGGGACTGTGGGGCACCTTCTTTTTTTTTCTTTTTTCTTTTTTTTTAAATGAATGTCGCTGTGAACTGGCATGTGGTCGTGTGTATTTCTCCTTTCCTTCCTTCTCCCATCGTACTCAGTACAGCCATGGACGAAAGAATGTGGTGGAAGCGATTCATGCGCTCACAACTAAAGGGTGAAGCTGCTATTATGAAAAACGGTTGTGGGTGGTGATTTCAATTCAATTCAACTAGACGTGGGCAGAAGCCGAGCCACACCCGGCTCGGCTTGGCTCGGCTCACCTTTCTGGCGAGTGAGCCGGGCCTTTTTTTCTTGGTACCCGGCTCGAGGCGAGCCGAGCCAGCTCGACTCGTCGCCGTTTTTTATGGCGAGGCGGGGCGAGCCGGCTCGCCCCTGGCTCGATTTCGAGCCAAGTGACTCGCGCCTCGGGATTTGGTTTGGGGGGATTGGCGTGGGTACATCCACGGAACACTCTCCTCAAAGACTAGTACCACGCCATCCCCAACCCAATCCCACTAACCCTAGCCAGCAACTACATTGTTCGTACGTTGCGCGCGCCTTAGCTAGTTCTAAAGCACCAACTAGTCTAGATTAGGAGTTTGTGTAGGGCTTGGCGAACTCAGTCCATGCAGCGCAACTAGCCAAAGCTGGCAAACAGGGATCCCAGGAAACCACCAACCAACCCCTAAAGATCAACAAGGCGAGCCGAGCCGAGCCGGCGCCGGCTCGCCAACATGGGGATGAGCCGAGACGGGTATCTCGGGGTCCCGGCTCGCCATCGAGCCGAGCTGGCTCGACTCGACCCAAAACGAGCCGAGCAGAGCCAGGCTCGGCTCATGCCCACGTCAAATTTCAACTGGCATTGTTGAATGGGCGCGTAAGAACCAAGGTGGGAATCAGACATGGGGGAATAGGGCCTGGGCAGGCTTGGCTCGACCTGGGTCGAGCCTGGCGAGCCGGAGGCTTGGCTCAGCTCGCCTGCTGTGATGCGTCGAGCCAGTGTCAAGCTGGCTCGAACCTGGCTTGCGTGCGGCTCGACGTGGAGCCGCGACACTTGCCCCTACGCATTCGTGACAAGGGTTGCACTAGCGGGGGTGTTAGGGGGGGTCGACATGGCTGATGGCGGGCTATGGACTAAGGCGCGAGATCCTAGGGAGGGAATAACGTGAAAGACTGACTTGCGAAAATAGTGAAGCAAAAGAGTTGGGTTCAGGAGACGGAGTATGGTTGGATGCGGTTGGGGAGATTGTTTGTTGGGATTGAAGTTCCAATTTCAAACCCCTTAACGAGTTGGATGTGCGGAAATTGGTGCAAGTCAGTCCCTAGCCCACCCCTTATCCTTCAACTAACTAGCCCACGTGCTATACTTGGCTTAGTAGCGACGTTTTAGATAAAACTCGAGCTCTTTGGGGTTACTTAAGCAACATTTCAGGGTCAGCGAAGCGCGTTTATGTCTTAAAAAAAAGACGGCCGAGCCGAGCCACGCCGGCTCGAACGTCGAGGCAGGGCTTGGCTTGACAGATTTTACCCGAGCGGAACCAGCAAAATTTTCAGTCCGGCTCAACCCGGGCAGCCGGCTTGGCTCAACAAACAACAGCCAGCTCAACCCTCGGTTCGAGCCAGGGCCGAGCCGGCTCGGGCCTTAGCCCATGTCTAGTGGGAACCATCTCGGCCTTTTGACGAAGACACTCACAAGCTGGTCAAAGCCAGAAGATTGCCGATTGTTGATGGTACCGGCCCAGACAGACCGTTCTCCAACAGATCCCTGCGTTCAGTGAATCAGGAAGGGAAGAGTGTTTACAATGAATTTGATTTTGTTGGCCTGGTCTTGGGTTATAACGGTTAAAGACAAGAAACAACCAGTTTTGAGGGATTAAAGCGTACTATTTGACGAGCACACAGCTCATAGTAGTACATAGCTACATAGTAGTACATAGCTACATAGTATGCAGTGTTCATGCTTCTATTCTGCTGTATGTCAAGCGAGGTCTGGCTGTGGCTCACTCTGTGTCAAGTCAACAAAGAAAGACACTCACAAGGTGCGAAGGTTTGTGAGCTTGCCAATGGAAGCAGGAATTGTGCCACTGAAGCTGTTGTACTCCAGGGTTCTGATGGGACAGCAATGGAGGGCGCGCATGAGCCGAGAGAGTGTATATTACATGGACAACATATTGCACGTATGGTGAAAAGGATAGATGCACACTTTCTGCTATATTGATTTTGCTTTATACAATCACTTTCCAGTTGGGCACAACTGGGAGAGAGGGTGTCGGATGGGGGAAGTGAGGGATGGAGGGAGTGAGAAGAGGAGGGAGAAAGAGCGATGGAGGGATTGAGAGGAGAGGGTGAGAGATGGAGAGAGGTAGACATGGGCTATAAAACGAGCCGCCTCGGCTCGTTTGTCCCCGGCTTGCCTCGAGCCGAGCCGAGCAGAGCCGGGCGAGCCGGCGGCTCGGCTCTGCTTGACGCGCAATCGGGACTCGAGCCGGGGTCGATTCCGGCTCCCGCACGGCTCGACGGGGCGCCGCGGCACTCGCTCCTAGGGGGTCAAAATTCACAAGGCTTTAAAAAACGGCGTTTTTTTTTTTCATTTTTAGGCCATTTGCTACGGTACCGTATTTTTCGGCGTTTTATTCGTTAAAAAAAAAACTGTTGAAGATGATTTATTTGGTTAAAAAAATTGCGTGGATCTGGCATTTCCCCCAAAAATGATCGTGTCTCGCGTTTCGACAGACGGAATGCGCGGAACTGGCGGACGTTTAGGCTTTCTACATTTTTTTTTATTTTTTGCTCCTGAGTGGCCTATTGAAATTCGGCGTTTTCTTTTCCCAAAATCACCGAAAAAAACGATCGGAAAAAACGGCCTGCCCAATTTTTCCACCTCGGGCTGCATAGCCCATGACAAGCTGCACAAATGTCCAGGGGCTCACGTGCTCGCATTTGGCAGAATTCAGGGCCCTCCCAAAAAGGATCCCCCCGCCACCCTGTACTGGTTGAGCCGAGACGAGCCGGCTCGTTTTCGAGCTGGGGCCCGGCTCCACCCTGTTTGGACGAAGCGAGCCGGCCAAAATTTGCAGCCGGTCGACCTGGCTCGAGCCAGCTTGGCTCGCCCGCCCCCTGGCTCTACCCTGGCTCTGGCCGGCTCGGTTGAAGCCCATGTCTAGAGGGAGGGAGAGGGAAACATGAATCTAGGAGGGGATGGCGAGGCCAGGAGGAATTGGGCTCCTACTATTCTAGGAATGCAGGCTCGAGAGTTGACTCACATGTCGGTGATCATGCCTTGGGCATCGCAGGTGACGCTGGTCGCATTATTGCAGTCGCCACCAATCTTCCAGCCTTCAATCGTTGTGTTCCACTCCCTCTGGCAGTCCAGCAGGACTTGCGCTGGGAGGGAAGCGATAGATAGGCACAGAGGGGAGGAAGATGATTTCGCCTCCTCGCAGTCCACGCCCTCGACCTGCTGCCAGTTTACAAGGAAAGGGCAGAAGACGAGGGGAGAACTCTTGAGTGGGCGGAAGAGGGGTGATTCAGGGAGGAAGATGGGAGATTTAGCAACGTTCGTGATAATTCCAATCAATCTCCAACATCTCCCTCCCACCTCTCATCTCCTCTCACTTCCACCATAGTATCACAGCCCGTGTCGACCCATGGGTTCATTCGTCCCCTCACCCACAAATTTATTATTTAGTCTGCGGTCGATTCTCCGCGCTAACCAACCCTGGTTACTATAAACCACTTTCCGCCCTCCCGTCACCCACACTCGCAGGCTCCGCCCTCCCCCGGGGAGGACCTCACCCACTCACCCACTTTCCGCCCTCCCCTCATCCACGCTATCTCCGCTCTGTCCAACTCTCCGCGCTCCCCCACCCACTCTCTCGCCGGGGGACCACACGCCGTTGCCCTTCGCTAACCTCGCTACCCTGCTACACCCAAGAATTCGATTAAGTCGCTTGCCTGAGAAACCCTCGTTCGACGGGACTCGCTCTCCGTGCGACATTACACACCTGAACCAAACTTGGGGTGATTGTAACAAAAAGCGGATTCTAATACGTGCTATTTAATCGAATACGTGGGTGTACCTAACCGTAGCAGTAGCGCGGTCAACGCCGCGGTCAATGCTGTTGAGGACGGTGCGGCTCGAAAATGCGGGGTGGGAGGAGTGGCGGGAACGTGTTGGGGGTCAGACCACAAGTTGTGTCACGGTTATCATCATCGAGCACACACCCTGGGATGCTTTGCTCCTCCAGCCACTCACGCGATGAAAACCCGCAAGAAGCGCTTCGCCCATTCAACGAAACGCTGAGATCGAGCACACCGAACACACAGCACACACCCTGGGAGTTGGCGAGGGGAACGCAGTCGATTCGTGAGAACGCGAGACACATCAGCAAGAGCAGCGCGCCGAGCTGAAGGCCTGCGCGCTCCATCTCGCCGCGATGGTCGCGGCAAGCCGTTCACGGAAACTGGAGTCTGTTGAAGGCTCCGCCGGCGACTCCTACCAACGGCGCATAAAAAATTGTCCTGGGAGCGAAAACCAGACGACGATGCTAGCCAGAAGGTCCAACCATACCTTGCCCAAGGTTTGAGCCAGTGGCAAACTCTAGCCTTTCTCCAACCCCTAGTACTAGAGGAAAGTCTCGCGCACGTATGGACTCTGCGCTCGACGCTTCATCTGCCGCCTCGTGCACTCGAACCCAATTTTCTGGAGTCTGCGAGTGGGTCCAGGGCAATGTTGGGAGCCATTCGAGGGGACCCATTGAACCTTCCAAAAGGATGGTTCTTCACATCCGAGCTAGGGTTCCACACCGCGGGCAGAGCCCAAAACTCGCTAAAAGGGCCCAACCAAAGCACGGCCAAAAACGCGGCTCGGGGACCACACCAGAATGGGTCCCCTGTTCGGCCCAGGGAACCCAAACCCCCCTGTGGGGAAGAGGTCCGCCAGCCTGAGAGGGGACCATAAGTGAGTTCCAGGCCTTAGACAAAACTCGGGGAACCCGTTTCTGGTCCCCCGAACCCGGGTAGTTGGAAACTAGCGGATTACACTCCCTAGGGGGGAGTACTGCAAGTCAAAAACCTCCTCCCCGACAGTACACCCGTCGGTCGTGTGTTTTTGGTTGCGTTAGAATTTGGTAATTCGACTTGCGTACCGTACTGTTTTTTTCCTCCACCGCCTTAACGTTTGTGTTAACCTTGTAGCTGCCCAGCTACAGTGTTTTCAGCTGGCTGGATCTCTGCTGAAGGGGTCGTGTCTTCCTCCACTGAGGCCCGCGCTTTCCTTTTTTCCTTTTTTTTTTTTCCTTTTTTTTTCCCCCCAGGCGCGACTCCACGTCGCGTTCGAGGTATGGGTCGTCGTCCGTTGACCCCATTTTGACCGCCCCTCTGTTTCGTGCACCCTTCCTCAGCTTGGGTCCCCAACCTGGCTCCCAAACACCGCCCAGATTGCCGGCCAGTCAGGAGAAAATCGGATGTTTGAGGCACAGAAATATAAACCCACGAAACTTACCAGAAGCTTAAGTACCGTTCTGCGCCGATGATGGACGTCAACATCCGTGGACGCCCCGCTTCCGAGTCGAGACTCCCTCACAGGACGGAACGAATCGTCGCGTAAGGACTGCAGTGCAGTGCAGTCCACCGGAGAACGGGGTCCGAGGTTACCGACTAGAAGTGTTGCAAGATCAGTCCATAGTGGGATGTCGCTCTCAGAAATTTCTGCCCGCTTCTTGCCGACTTTTGGGCAACACCTCATTGGTGGGAGGTTGGCAGCGAGAGCAGGAGCAATGCGAGCTGCACCAATCCGCAGGAAGGTGTCAGCTGAACACTTTTCACATCCAAGTTCACCTGCCCCGTGTCGCTACACGTCAGTGCCTTCTTATCGGCACGATTTAGACTAGCCAACCATTGGTTGAACGAATTACGAGGGGATCCTCCACTTGAAGCGGCAGCGAAATGTAGGATGTTTTTTTTTTTCGGGACAACATCGCCTATACTCAAATTATGCCACTGCTCGTTTGCACTTGTACTCAAGCCAATCAAAACGTTTCCGGGCAACCCAAAGGAAACCCAGCGGGAACCTGGTTGAACTTCGGGATTTTTTTTTCGGTTGCCACTTCGTGCTCACGAGTCACGACCGCTCTCCTCCACTCAATTGAGCTGCCTCGGTGGCTGACAGAGCCCATTCATGCACCTAACCAAGAACTGGAATTCCGTGAAGTTCCACGTCACCCAGCTCCTCCCTGCCCAAAACTAGCCAGCCGTCGCATCGGAAGAAAATGTGCATTTTGAAAGTGACTCTCTAAGCATACTTCTGAGTCACCTTTGTCAGATGTTTAGAATGTACTTTCATGCAAAGCTGTTTTATAACACCAGCAAGATTGCCATGTGTTTTCAAGCAATCTATTTGTGTCTTTAGGGATACTATCACAGATTTGAAGGGTTACTAAAAATAGACTGCAAGGGTGCTGTTATGAATTAATCAGAGGTTTAACAGGTAGTGTAATAGAGGAGTCGTGATTCAAGAGTGTCAATACAAATGAGGGCCTAGGCATTTATAAGCACGAACAGAGCTAGCCGAGAACCACGCGAACAGGTTGGGGTGGTCCGGTTGGCGAAATCCACGGAAGCGCCGCGCGTCTAGGTTTGGGTTCGCGAAGTGGTTCGGGACCGAAGAATTTGGTCGGGCCTGGACTTCCGAGAGTCGAGGGCGTACGCGTTGTAGTCGAGCCCAGTAAGGAAAAGGGAATTTCCTTACACCCCACCCCCCCCCCCCCCTCCCCCCCCTCCCTCCCTTCCGGAATGAGACTACCCACATCCGACATACGTCGTCGGTGTAAATGGTCACGGACAACTCTTTTTTTACCGAACGTAGCTGCAGGAACCCAGGGGCCGTCGTCACTTGTGTGATCGACCTAGCGTACACAGAAATCGACGTTTTTGTGTCTCGATGTCCCCGTATACGATGAGCGAGGATATTGGACGGCACTGTCGTCGGCTCGGCTACTGGGTTGACCGTAGGATTACTATGTTGACGGTCGAGATTGGTCGCACTCGGGACGAACGGTCGCAGGAGACTGACGTGGAACGAATCATGAATTCGCCAGTCGGTCGGCAGTTGCAGCTGGGCAGTGACAGGTGTCACCATGCGGATGATGCGGAAGGGGCCGCAAAATCTTGGTCATAATTTATTTGGGAGGGGGATTCCCAAATTCCCGGTGTCGAGCTGGACCAATTGCCCAGGGACAAGTCTTAAGTCTCGGGGTCGTCGGTCGGCTTGTTGCTTAGCCCTCTGGTTGGCTTTTAGGATGGCATCGGCGACTTTTTTGTGAGACTGTCGGAGATTTTCGACGAATAGATGAGACCTTGGTGCCGTATTTTCTATCGGTGGTGATAGAGGGGTTGTCGGATCTATCCCGTAATTATGGAAGAACGGGGATTGAGTAGTCGTGGCCTATGGGGCATTGTTGCACGCAAACTTGATCAAGGGAAGGGCGTCTTCCCATTGGGTCGGGTCAGTGCATGTCGTGCGAATCAGCTGCTCCATTATCTGGTTGGTGCGTTCAGTCTGACCGTCCGATTGCAGGTGGTACGGCATAGACAGTTGCAGACGTGTGCCGTACTGCTGCAAGGTTTTTGTCCAGAAGTTGGACGTGAACCATGGGTCACGATCGCTGATGATTGCCGATGGGATGTCGTATAGCCGCACGATGTTCGTGAGGAACAGTTTTGCTGTCTGCTCGGCAGTAATTGTCGTTTTGTAGGCGGTGAAATGGGCCATTTTGGTCAATCGGTCAACGACGACGAGGATCGCGTCGTTCATCAGGAAAATCCATGTGTTCTATGTTTGTTCCTAAAACGTGCTCGCCTGCGAAGTGTTCAAAAAGTGTGCGAGTTTGCTTTTTGAACCAACGTTGAACATGACTTGCGAACACAAGTTGAACACTATTTGAACACATTGCCAACATGCTTTTGAACATGGGGCAAAACCGTCACCATACCCATTCACGACTGAGGTTTTGTTCCAGGTCATGGCCGCAACCATCTTTACAAATTGCATGACCTTATTGATGCAGACAGTTAATTTTGGAGATCATGAATGCCAAAAAGCTATGCTTCAACAACGACAGCCCTTATGACCTACTCATTGAAGAGCATCTGATTTTAGTCAGAGTGAATGGGTGCATGACCCAGACATGAGTCTTTAGGCAGCGTCCTGAGTGCGGACTGTGCCGCAGCGCTAAAGAAATGTTCTTGTTAACGAGGAGCTGCTTCGCATTGTGAAAGCACGGCACAATATGCGCAAGAGAGGTCACGCTGATGGCGCGGACTACGGCACAGTGGTCCACACCCACAGTACGGGTGAGCTGCTTGCACTTGGTCACAGGGCAGGGGCGGGGGATTTCTATGTAGTACTCCACGAAAGCAGCTTCCTGTGTTGCACCAAAAGGGCCCTTGTACGAAAACAGCATCAGACAATGACCATACCAGCTGGCCCCTACAGACGCAATGTCGATATGGCTGAATGCCCTCGATGCAAGGCTAGCTTTGATAAATTGGCCCTGTGACTACCACTCCATCGCGTCATGTAGTGGGATTTCGAGGACCGTGTGCACCTGTTGGGGGCAGGGGGGGGGGGGGGAGTGGCAACAGGCGGGCGGGGGTAAAGGCAGGAGCGGGGGTGGGGGAGTTAGGAGCGGGGGGGGGAAGCAAGAGCGGGGGTGGGCGAGTTTGAGGCAGGTGGGGGGGGGGGGCCCTTGGCGGACCACTGCGTGTCAGCAAAGGGGCATCCTGTGACGTATAAAAGTCATCGCGAGGGGGGGGGGGGGGGTATCGGAGTCATGTGCCAGCGCGGTGCATCAAAGTCAGGCAGAGACAACAAGTGAATAATGTGCACTCGCAACGTGTTGTGACACGGGTGTGGAGGTTCCCGTGGGCCACCACCGTGCAAAATCACGACCCACAAGCACTCACAAAGATCTCCGATGCCAGGACTATGCCCCTGATCAGCGCCTGCCCAAACAACGACATGATGGACGAGCCCAGCTCCCTCGTGTATGACATGAAGGTAGGATCCCGCGCAGACCCTACGACAAGCTGCTTTTTGGTGCTTGTCATCACCCGCTTGTTCAGCCGGACGGCCTACCAATCGTAGGGGTGCAGGGGGAGAGAGGGGGGATGAGGGATCACTAGGTGGGGGGTGGGGTACATGGTGAATAGGGGTATAGGTTACACATTGTGACACGACCTCAGAGGAGTGTGCAGTGCAGTCGTCATAGTGCAGTGCAGTCGTCATAGCATATCATAGCTCCATAATACAACACACTAGATAGGGCAAATACATGGCAAGGGAACAAGGGTGAGCAGGCCATGCTAGTTATCAAAGCATGGGAGGGAAGGGTGGGCAAGTTGGAACAGAAAAATGCAAATGAGACTAGGTGGCAGGTCTGAAAGACTTGCCGATAGATGAAGGAGTTTGTCTCCTGTACAGCAAACTCCTCTTCTAGTCGAGTCACAATCTGTAAATTTTTCATTACAAAAAATTTTCTCATATTGTGACACGACCTCAGAGGAGTGTGCAGTGCAGTCGTCATAGGTCAAACGAGACATCAAGTGGGAGGTCGTCGGCGGTGGCGCTCGAGGGTGGCCTGGTACCGATCGGTCGCGCTTGAGCGAGTAGGATCTTGTAGCGTGCGAGAAGCAGCCACTAGCTCGCGGTCAAGCTGAGTAATGTAAAGCTCCTTGGCTGTATCACTTCGCCAGCGGCCGAGGGCCTTGAAAGGCCGGTCGAGGACTCCAACATCAACGGCGACCGTCGCAGCCGCCTTGCGGAAAGAATGGGTGCCCAGGAGGGCCGGGTTGAGGCCGACACGGGAGAAAGCATCTCGACACCAACCCCGAATGGCGGCATACAAGGGAGAGCAATCTGAGGGGGAAGCTCGGGCCCCTGGCTGAAATATACGAATAAGGGGGCCAAGGGTCCGCGGAGAATAGCCAGCCAGGAAGAGGAATTGTTGGACACGCGACACCGGACAGTGGCGGACAGAAGAAGCAGCCACTGGGACCCAAACACCGGTGCCAGCTTGGTCGGTCTTCGAATGGGGGATGAACAACCACATGCAGTCCCGATCGAACTCGATCTGGTGCCACTGGAGGGAGACGAGATCAGAGAAACAAAGGAAGGCTGCGAACATGAGGAGGGGAATAAGGCCCCGCTGGAATGTGGCCGGATCATGCGATGAGAAGTAGATGTCACAGATATCGTAAATCTTGGCTGGAGGAATGGGCTCCTTAGCTTGAGATGGCTTGCCACAATGACGCATGGCATAATCCTTGACTTGTGAAGAAAAGGGGTCGCGAATCGGGGACGGGTGGCCGACCAGCCAATGGGCGCAGGATATGGTGGAACACGCAGTGCGCATAGCTGAGACGGTAGCGCCGCGACGGACCGAGTGCAGCAGAAAGAGGGCCGATGTCAGGTCAGTGGCGGGAAGGAAGGGAAGTGAGTGCGCCAAACAGAAGGCTCGAAACTGTCGCCAATAGGGTTCGTAAGTGCGAAGGGTAGACTTTGCCCGAAGATCAACGGTGAGTGTAAGAAGGTCCGACAATAATCGACCAATATATGAGCCTGCGCAGTGAAATAAATTTATACATTAGTTGAATGCAAAACGAAGCGCATACATCGGAGAGTTCGGAAGACCAGCATCGCTAAAGGCATGACGGTCACTGCCAACGCATAAACAACTAGCACCAAGGGTAAGGTGAAGGGCAATAACGACCTCCGGGCCCCAAGTGAAGCCGTCCAGGCTTAGCAAAGGCCACCAAAAGGCACTGGGCCAATATGGGATCACGAGAGTGAGAGAAGTGCGCGAGCGACGGGCATGCGCTAGGACAGCCGGAATGAGGGCGGGTGGAGGAAAGGCGAAGCAATTCTCGTGTCCCCAGTTAATAGAAAAGGCGTCTTGCACAACCGCAGAGTGTGAGAACTCGAGGGAGCAGAAACGAGCGAGCTGCGCATTGGCAGGGGATGCGAACAAGTCGATAGTATGAGACCCCCAATGCCTCTCAAGCAGCCGGAACCAAGGTCATGTCAAGGAGTAGTCGTCGTGGAGCTCAATCTTGGACAGAGCATCGGCCTCGGTATTCAGCGCACGGGGAATCCATTGGACCGTAAGACGGATCATATGGCCCATGCACAATTGAATTATCGCGCGGCATACGAAGGTAAGCTCGGGACGGCGAGAGCCTCCCTTCTGGAGGATGTAGTTGGCCACCTGACTATCGCTGTGGAGCAAGATGTGTGAACGTCGGATTTCGACAGAAAAGGCCGAAAGGGACCAAAAGATTCCGGCCAGCTCGCGAAGGGTACTGGACGAGCCCAAGAGGGCTAGAGGCTGCTGGGAGGAGAGTGAGCCGACACGACCATCCGGCGCTGAATAACAAGCCCCCCAGGCATGGTCGCTAGCATCCACGTACATGACCACGTCGTACAAATGCGGGTTGTGGAAGCGGGCGCCGTTGAAAACGTCAAACCGTGTAAGCCAAAAATGCAGCTCTTCAATAGACTCAGGGGTTAGGAGAATGGCCGCCCCCCATGAGTGGCATTCGGCGATCTGCGTGAGAAGGTGGTGGGAGAAAGCGCGCGCGACAGTGCCAAGTGCCAAGGACATGGAGGCCAACATGCCGGTGATGCGGGCAGCGCGGCGAACAGGGATGCGACGCCCGTTAGCGCCGAGTGTGCCTAATTCATCCAGCTCGGCAAAAAGCCGGTTGCGCCGATCCGCATCGACAGAGAATGTGGTGGTGCGCGTGTCCAGCAAGAGGCCCAAGAACTTCAAAGATTGTGCTGGCGCGAGTTGTGATTTTTTGAAATTCACAACAAAGCCCACGGCTGCGAGGTCGGCGATGATTATGGAGCGGTTGTGAAGAGCCTCCGCTCGAGTGGCACTGATGAATAGGATATCATCGACGTATGGAATAAGGCGGATGCCGCGGCGATGCCAACGTTTAGAGATTTGCTTAATTAACAGGGTAAACATAAATGGCGCTGTAGCCAGCCCGAAAGGCAAAGAGAGGAATTGGTAGTCCTGCCCTTGCAGGGAGAATCCGAGAAACCGCCAAAAAGCGGGGTGAATGTCGACGTGGTGGTATCCAGATTTGAGATCGATCGTGAATAGCCAATCACCTTCTTGCACCAAATCAGGAACGCGAGTAAATCCTTCGTATCGAAAACGAGGTACCGAGAGGAATGAGTTGACATGCCGCAAGTCCAATATCAGCCTCTTTTTTTAGGGTTGGACAATCACGTTTAAGGGGCTAACGCATGTGAGGGTTGTGGAAGGAGGAATGACCCGAGCTGCGCCGGTGGCGAGAAGCTCGGCCACTGCACCTACTACGAAAGATGTGAATTGCAAAGCACCGGCATGGTTCTTAGTACGAGACGGAGGGGGCTCAGAGGCAACCCATGGTAGGCGATATCTTGATGTAATCACCGATAGAATCAAGCGGCTGTCGCACCAGGCGGACCACCATGCAGCGCGGTCACGGAGGCGGCCTTGCATGCGGGTAATCTTGGTTGCATCATCGGCATAGGCCGAAATGGTTCCGAGCTCTGGTGGGAGAGGGAACACAAATAGGGACGGTAGAGAATCAGGAAGGTACCTCATGTAGTTCCGACCGCAACGAGTTTATTTATTTATTTATTTTTTGGCGGGAAGGAAGGCAAACGCTAATTATAGGTGCCCGCTTGCTCGCTATTCTTCGGCCACGTCATCCCTTAAGTGATAAACCATGGGTTGGGCATGTGAACTTGGCATGTTGGGCTGTAGTTGGTTGTCATTTATGGTGATGACATAGAAATCTTGTCATGATCTTATCAACGTCAATCTTTAAAGGACGCACACACATTGTGTATGCGTCTTGTGGGCACATTCACGTCTTCTTGCACGGGCCCAATGGGCAAGACCATGTGGTCGTATAACGCGCGTATTAATCTTGCTTGAATGCACAAATGTGGTTTTTTTTTGTTTTTTTTTTTGTTTTTGTAAGAACGCTACAACATCGGAGAGGTTAAGCAAACTTTACACAATCTTAGCTGGCCGATTGGCCCCTTGGCCCCTTTGGGGGCAATTAGCCATCCCATGCCCGGGTTTGGGGCAATAGAAACAACGGCCGTCGCCGTCCCTACGCCATGTGTTCCAAAGGCGCTCCCCTTGGCCGCGAGGGCGAAGAGGGGGTTCAAGACGGGAGGTGGAATGGGTGGGCCGAGTGGGCCTCTTCTTGCTGGCCACTACAATCTGAGAAGCAGCCTTCACATTCTTATCCTCTACCACTTCCCCATACTTAATCTTCAGGGCCATATTGGCCACTTCGAAACCGCGTTGATCGGCGGTAAACAGAAAATGAATCTTTTCTTCCGCCTCCTCTGCTATCTGCTGGAGATAGTCGGCGGCTTGTTCACCACCATCAGGTAGTAAAACCGAGATAGCATGATGTGCAATAGCTTGAATGCGCTCAAAAATAAAAAGTTGCGTACGAATTCCATCGCTTTTAACTAAGGAAGAGCGCAACTGAGGACGTGCAGGTGGAATAGGAGCGAGGATGAGCGACGCAGAAGCGGATTTCGGGCGGACGGCATTACCTTCGCCGAGCGTGGCATGGGGTGCTTCTTTCTCCATTTCGTCGTCAACGGGCTCGGGGGCGGGCGCCGGGAGGCGAGAGCGTGGGGCCACCGTCGCTGCGACGCGTGCTGGTTCCGGTGGCGGTGCGGGATCGGCGCCATTGCCACGCTGGAGCGCCGCGAGAAGACCAAGAACGTGGTGAATGGCCTTGTTGTTGGTGCCGGCGTTAACATTGTTGTCGGTGTAGCGAGCAGAATTATGTTCTGCAGAATGAGGCGCTGTAAATGCAGTGGAGCGCGCTGTAACGCGTTCGCCAACAGCTCCTGTGAAGATTCGCTGGAGATTGCGTTGGGCTGCAGGATCCAGGCGTGCAATCATTTCGGCGATTTCTGCTGCTCCAGGGGTCGAGATCTGCGGATTTCCGCGCGGATTCACTGCGGCATGAGGAAAATCCGTGCGGCGATCTGTGCGATCCTGGTCCCGATCCTGGCGATCCTGGTGAATCTGGGGCGCTGGGGCGTTGAGATCGTGCTCATGATGACGCCCTGCGCACGCAGGATCACGATCATGATTGTGGTCCTCACGCGCAGGACCGTTATGATTGCGTTCGGTAGGTGAGGGCCGGGACGGGGCGTTTTCGGCAGTCGGGTTCGTGTCGACGCGGTTCTGCTCGTTACGCCGCTCGCCTTGAAATCCGGGGGGGGGAATCGCGATTGCGTGACGTGTTATGATCCGCGTCCCCCGCCGCATTTTCGACGTGCTGAACAGGGTCTTGACGCGCGCCACTCAGCAAATCCAAAGTGGTAACGGTGCCGTTACCTCCGCCAGGACGAGGAGAACGAGATCGTTCTCTATGCTGAGATGAAGAGTTTCGGTCCCCCTCACGTACAGTGGACCCACGCCTTCCACCACTCCTAGTATTCACGCGAGGAGCGGGAGGCCTACCACTTGCAGCAGAAATAAGTCCGCTAACCATTGTAGAATATCTTACAGAAAGGACGTCTTGCAGCAAGAGACTGCTATGCCCAGATCTGGGCATAGAGGTTTAGAGTGTGCTGGTGGTATACAAGTTGGAACAGAAAAATGCAAATGAGACTAGGTGGCAGGTCTGAAAGACCTGCCGATAGATGAAGGAGTTTGTCTCCTGTACAGCAAACTCCTCTTCTAGTCGAATCACAATCTGTAAATTTTTTATCAAAAAAAAATTTCTCATGTTTGTGCATGGCAGATCTTGTCACTTTTTACCGCACGGTGGAACATTCCACCGTGCCTCTCGGACAATCTTCACCTCGCGCAAAGCCGTCACGTAGGTCTCGTCGCCACCCTTGGCACGGGACAAAGTCTTCACCAGGTCTCCTTCAACATTCCTCTCCGCAACATTCCTCCAGTTGCCCCCACGAGCGGGCCACTTCACCATTGTCTAGTGGCGGTTCTCGTAAGAGTTGGTGCTGTACTCGTAAGGCATGCCCTGGCTGAGAATGGCATCCGGGACGTGAACCAACTTTGTGCACCTTCGGGAGATGCCACTCCGAGGCCTGCTTGGGGTAAGCCGTTTGGTGCCCCTCCACCATTCAGAGGTGCGAGAAAGCGGGGGTGGGTTGTGGGGGGGTGTGGAGTTTGGGGATGGCCGGGAGTTGATAAGGGTGAGGGATGGGGTGTGGGGTGTGGGGTTTGGGGATGCGGTGTGGGGTGTGGGGTTTGAGGATGTGGCAGTGGAGGAAAACCCATGCCACATTCCCTGCACCACACCCCACTCCCCTCTCCTCACACCCCACACCCTCGGGTGGAATATGGGGTGTCAGGTGTGGGTTGTGGCACAAGGACAGATGGTGATTGCGGGCGAGTGTGCTGGCACGTCCCACAGTGGCGCACACGTTGCAACACTTACTACTTCATCTTTGTCTTTGTCATCGCCAATGTCGCTTTTGTGTGATACTCACGGCGAAACATGAATGAGAACCAGTCATGGAGCTGGAGCACGGATGCCTGGGCGTCCTCCAATCCGGAAAGGTGCATGATGAGGGGTGAGACCTGCACGACCGCACGATGCTCCGCCGCAGAGAAGTTCGTGCATGTCTGCTAGTAGAGCATGCTTCTTGGGAGGCAGAGCACGCATGATGACGTGTGGTCCTTGATCCTCTTGAAATGCCTGCCACGATCCATGCAAGTATTTAAGGAGGTGACCGCGAGGGGGGGACTTTGGGGGGGGGGGGGAAAGGGCGACCAATCAAGGGACCGGACCAGAAGGCACATGCGCATAGAAGGAGGAATCAAACCAAAGGGCATCAATATGTATCATGGGGTTTCAGGTCCCCCACTCAGACAACGACGATTTTCCGCTGTCCGTTGGTCAGGAGCCGCAAGTAGCACTTCATCTTATGCAGCCAAATGCCCTCCTCGATCATGTGCATTGACTCGGGTATCCCAATGGAGAGCCGGTCATCCCAATGGATGCAACGCTGGTATAGCGCGTCAAGTTACCAAACGGCGATTACCACGAGGACTGGCGCCTCCCCCCGACCTCGTTTTAGCTCCGGACAGCAAGGGTGAGCGGATGCTGATGTGTGTCTGTTACATGCGCCCTTGACACCCTCCCAAACCCCCCCCTCTCCCCTTCGCCCCACTGCATTTCCCCCCTCTACCACCCCCCATATTACGTTGCCTTGTTCAAACTGGAATCCCTAGTGTATGGCTCGTGCATACCCCATGTATGGCACGTACATCCCTCACCAGGTTTCACCTAGGATGAGCTGCCCCAACCGGCTCCTAAACGGCCCACGGTGTGGGAGCAGGCCACATTCAACCGAGCGCTGACGGAAGCAGATCCCGAGACGGCACGCACGCTCCTTCGTGTGTACGAACGCAGTATGTCCCATGCCGACTGACACGCTGCTGGGCTGCCACGATGGTGCGCCAGAACAGATTCCACATAGCGACTACAGAGAGGTGTCATCATGGCGCTCGCAAGTGTGTCTGGTGCAGCCCTGATGGACCTGAGATGCATCTCACCACAGAAGTACCGAGCACATTGTACGTATCTTCCGTGGGGATGGCTGTTTATTAAACTGACCATGCGGAGTAGCTTTCATGGCACCTTATTGTCTCAAATGCTATGCTGCAACGTCTCACAGTATTGCCCACAAGTCCTCCCCTCGCAAAGACTCTACCTCCCCCTATCAGAGTAGTATGTAGAATTGGGGATGCATGTGTCCACAAGTACCTTAACCATGAGGTGTGGACCTACCCTCTTAGATCTGGAGCTGTATCACATGTGGGCCATGCATTGCTGCATGTGTCTCTAATGCCTGTATGGTGCCGCAATAACCTGGGCTGACTGTAATGGTGGATAGTACCGCCTTTAATAAGGGTTGAGTTGTGCAGCGTGTTTGGTAGGAATCCGAAGTTGTGGTTCATATCACCATTCATATCCACAATGGGCAACTCTGGCGACCAACCTACTACTGCCTAGGAGTAAGCGACAGCGTCTACTTGTTTTGGCATTAACAAGCCAATTACAGTAACTGCTCCCTCAACCCAGTCTCCTCCCTCCTCCCCTTCCCATACTGTTTGGGAGTCATGGCTACTGCATAATGACCTGGTCATCCGGTGGTTGACCATCACCACCGTATAGGAGCTCCCGGATGAGTTCTGGTAGAGACGACACACGTTGGCCAAAATGCAAGTAGTAGACGGAACACATGACGAGATGGATGTGTAGCTCCTCTCGCCAATGTTCAGCATGGCCGTACAGCTTGATACGACGTGTATACCTGAAGTTGTGCTCGACGAGCACTTGCATGAACTTCATACAGTACATGCCACAGTCATGGTTGTTGGGCTGCTTGGGCACCTGGTGGGAGGGCCGGCATGTTGGGGACGTTAGCCAAAGCATACGTTCGATGACCATGATAGGGATTCAGATTGGGCTGTCATGATTACCTGCATCTTGCGCATTGCTATACGGCCCGCCCATTCACGGGCGCACGCGTCCTTCACGTAGGGCCTGATCTTGTGCATCTGCCGCCGCAAATACCTGCATAGGGGCAGCGCAGGGAGGGGGGGGGAAAGGAGGGGAGGAGGGTTGCGGTGGTTTTGGTGTATCCCAATGAGCAAAGGATACACCAAAACCACCGGCAATATCGGTAACGCACACATCCTCATAGGAACGAGTGCTGCACTGAGTGCCAGAAGGTGTCCTCGAAGCCCTCATACATGTCGTATGAGTAGGCGTGAATGAGAATGCTTGGCTCGGGGATTTTGTCTGCTGGCTGAACATCGTTCTTGATTACGAGTAAGCTCCAATGTCCCCTGCGGACGGGTAGAAGGGATGGGTAAGCCAACGATGGAGTTGTAATTGATTGCGGCGCCTGTTAAGGCCGTATTTGACAAGCAGTTATTACGTACGCTTCATGTAGAGGCACTATGAGGTATTGAAAGTCCATGATGTTTTGACCGTAGGCAAAGTTCTTGGACTTGGTGTCCCGGTCCCGCAAGACGTAGTTGTAGAAGTAGGTCGAACAGTATAGCCACTTAGGCCGGTCGTTCTAATGCCTGTACATAAGAAGTTTGCGACAACCGCGAGCCGACGGGGCTAGATGGGTGGACGGTTAGGATTTGGAGCGTGTTAAGAGCACAACCCAACTGAGTTCACATTTGCAAAACAGAGAAAAGGGGAGCATAGCATTGAATCTAGTGGTCTACCCTTGACAACAGAGTTCGGCACGAACAGGGAATGCGACATCGTCCAGCAGAGTTGCCACGGGGCCATCAACGGTTAGGTCATCCATCTCAGGGGATATTAAATCATTCTATACTAGCATCCGTTCTTGACAAGAACAGTTTACTCTTACCTGATGGAACAAAGATGAATCCGTCATCCCGACTGACCGTCTGCACCATGTGTACCACTGCTAATCTTCTACATGAACCTTTTCCAAGTCACTTTCCAGGATCGATTCGCTACACGCTTATGCAGAAAGTCTACAGCGACATCCCGAACTTACCTGAAGCCGGGACTAAGGGGGAACTCTATATTATATATTTTTATCGAAGCTTCTACTCGCTACATTTGGACTATCAACATCCTAGCTCGCCATATGGCTCACTCCATTTTCGTCGCATGGCTTACAGTCGCTGAGAGAGAGTCGAAGGAGAAGCTCCAAGAACTTCAAAGTGACGGAGCAGGAGAGTATACCAGTAACACCTGCAGTGAGTATCTTCAAACCCTAGGCATCAAACGCCGAGGGTCCCTGCCACATCAACAGCAATAGATGGGGGTAGCGGAGTGGATGAACAAAACTTTACAAGAGAAGTTGCGAGTTTTGCTGACTCAGGCACCACTTCCACCACACTTTTGGACATATGCCTTGGACCATGCAGTTCTTCTGCACAACTTGCTGTCCACAATGTCTCTTCCACAAATTCCTTTCCCACACCTGCAGTGGACAAAAACAGTTGGCAACACAAGACTCTTACGAGTTTTCAGCTGTATCGTCCAATATCGACCTCCAACTGCAGCACTCGGAAAATTTTCAGAACGGGCTAAGTGGGGTATACATCTTGGCGCCGAGATGCAGTTTTACTCTTGGAAGATTATGGATCTTCGCACGAGTAAAATCTTACCAGCACGTGATTGTCTTTTCTACGAACGACTCACCTTACCTGTTTTCGTGCTCATCAGGAAGCAGATGCTAACCCTGCTAAGCTCTTTGAAGGCTCGGAACAAAGCTGAGACAGACGTACAGGATGAAACAATTGCCAACGCTTTCGAAGCAGCTGCCACAGACATCCCCGTGCCAGCCACGTCAGCCGGAACTGCTGAATTCATCCCACTCAGCGAAGCTGCGTCTTAAGACGTCCGAGACGTTCTTCTTGATTACGGACATGATCGTCGGAAGCAGCCCATGCCAGTTGTCACTGAACCAGCTATCCATTAGACACCTTGCAAAATTGGGGGCGAACAGGGGTCAGAAGACAATTTCTCCGGTGTCAACTCCAATCGTCCTCGTTTTATAGTAAATGGATTACAAGTTTTGGGACTCGCGGTTGCAGTACAGTCGAACATCAGCAAGATTTCGGAGCTGAAAACAGTTCGCCAAGATTTGAGCAGTCCACACAGGGAAAAATGGTGGGAAGCCATGGACCGGGAGTTAGGGGCTCTGGAAAAGCGAGGTACATGGGATCTAATCCCACATAAAGAAGTCAAGGGGAGTAAGGTGCTTACAGGCAAATGGATTTTTCGTGTGAAGACGAACGCTGATGGTTCATTCGAAAAAATCAAGGCACAATGGGTTGTTTGAGGCTTCGATCAGACTTTTGGACTCAACTACGAGCTAACATTTCCTCCTGTCGGCAGACACACTAGTGTCCGCATCTTACTTTGTATCGCAGCCTGCTGGAATTCAGACTTCGCCAAATCGACGTCGCCAATGCATTTCTATATGCACCCGTCGACGCATTAATTCTGGTTGAGTACCCACATTCTTACGTAACTTACCCTCCAAGCGTCTGCCATTTCAGAAAGTCTCTCTACGACATTAAACAAGCTCCATGCCTGTGGCAGCAATTACTTGCTGTTGGGTTTTGACAGCTACCGCACGATCAAGGCATATATTTACTTACCGACGGCCGTGACTACATTTTGCTCGTCGCTTATGTTGACGACTTGCTCTACGTTAGCCCCACTGTTTTTCTCGCCACTGCCTTGGAACAGAAACTTCAACAACACCTACAGATCACCATTACACCTACTGTCATACAGTTTCTTGGACTAAACATTCACCGCACAACAATTGCTATTCATCTTTCCCCTTCAAAATATGCTGCTACACTGGCCACACAGTTTAATCTCACACCCTCGACAGTCACTACGCCTTACCGCTCTCTGTATATGGATTACTAGCCTGATACACCTCCACTTGATAGCACTGAACTTCAGCTCTATCAGCAGCACCTGTGTTGTCTCCTATTCGCAGCCGTAACGTGTCGTCCAAATATCGCCTATTTTGCTAGCCAGCTCGCACAATATCTGAGTCGACATGAGGGGGAGAATCGGCTAGAACTTCTACGCGCCCTACAGTATTTTATTTCGATGCCTGAAGTCGGACCTACCTACCAAGTCGTCACTACAAAAACTCTCTATCTTAACGGATATGTCGATGCTGATCATGCAGCAGATAACTCTAATCGTCGATCTCGCACCGGCTTCATCTATCGTCTCGAACCTATTGGGACCATCTCCTGGAATTCTACAAAGCAAGAAATCATAGCCCTATCATCTGCTGAAGCCGAGTTAATAGCTGCTTGCACAACTACTCGTGAAGGTCTCTACCTGCAAGAGCCACCTTGCAGTGCGACAACCAGAGTGCGATCAAAATCGCGCACCAGCCTGGCTTCGCCAATAAGACGAAACACATTTCGCTACAATATTTCTTCGTCCAGGATGAAGTCGAGAAGGGGAGAATGTGATTGGTCTACTGCTCGACCAATGAAATGGCTGCAGATTTTCTCACCAAGAAGCTGACACGTGAGAAGTACCAGTACCGCAACGAGCACTACGGAATCATCAAGAAGTGACCCTGTCGGACTTCCAGAAATGAAGGGGAGTGTTCTGATAAATTCATACTTCAGCATTTGTGTACAAATATCCGATAGATATTATCGAGTTACTCTGTAGATTAGCATCCGTGAAATGACGTCAGCAAATAGCGCTCATCTGGATGATTACGTTAGTTGGCCGTTTCAGTCACGCAAATAGTCGCACCCCTTTCAGTAGCGATTAGAGCGCATAACGCGAATAGCTTTGAACAGGTACATTACCGAACAGGTACTTCTAGCATATATAAAAGTAGCTTGACTCGCTTTTATTGTTAGCTTGTTCTTTAGTAAATTCTGGACACCACTTACAAGTTCTAAGACTTCCGCTATCTTACTAGTCTACCATTCCAGCAAAGACCCTTGCTCATGTCTTCAAGTATCAAAAGGCTGTAACACTAACTCTGGTGTTACAACTTGTTAATACTGGCTGTTATTAGAGGTACTTCTAGTACCCTTTTCTACTTTAAGTACGTGTGTCTGCAGATTCTATACTTGGTCTTCTGCACCGTTTTACAAATTCCTCCATTCACAAAATCCATTACTTCAAATATATTACGTAAACACTAGGCTTGAAGCTTCCCCCCCCCGGCTAGAGCTAGGGAATCGATAGCCTATTTTTCTGATATAACAAAATACGCCACATGAATCGATGGGAAACAAAAACTTGTTGATTTATGTTGTTCCCATCATTCTTTCGTGCGATTCTTAGCGTAATTATAAATATTACACCGCCCATGTTGTAGAGTAGATCTAGATGGTAGCATATTAAAATAGCTAAGGAAGGGTTTAGGCTAGGTAGGAGAGAAAAATGTCGAGAGAAAAGAGAATCGACTAGGAAGAGAGAGAGATACAAGAATGGGGGTTGTCCTCTCTACAGTAGGATCCACAATCTGTAGAGCACCTACCAAGCCTACACAAATATATATATATATATATATAATATCTATAATTTGATATAGCAAACTTGGAATACCAAGTGTACAAAGTAGCAGTTGAACTATTTCCTAGGTGTTCTTTCTATGTTTTTTTACGGTAAAAGAAATCTAAAAAACTTGAAAGTAAAATTTCGCCCAATCCATTGCAATAGGTTGCTCCGCAACCCCCCCAAAAAAACAGTTTTTATGATTTCGTAAGATTAG